ACATTATATCCAAATAGTAATAAATATAAAATATTATGATATATTCCCTTTTATATTATACTATTATACTATATTATTCCTTATTTTTTCGAACAAAATATACAATTTAATTCATGAAAAATATTAAATCCCGTGCTGTATAGCACGGGTTATGATCTAGTTTTATTTTATATTTTGCCAACTAAAAACTTATTTAATGCTAAATGATTTTTGTGTAATGTTAATTTTTTCATTTTTGGAGTGGGTGCTGGTTTATTTATTTATATATTGTGGTTGGAGGTTGTGATAATTACTAATCTAAATCACGCCAGCAGGATTTGGAATGTTGGAATCATTTCTTTTTTTTGTTTGCGATTTGATTGGAAGTAGACCAAAATGAACTAATTTATGATTCATTTATATACATTACATTTGCATATATAGTAGTAGGCTTTTAGTTACAACTACATATATTACCAGATTCTTTTTTAAAAAGGGAAAGTATACATTGCCTAACTCTTTTGAATTTTGAGATTTTGAAATAGCGGGTAAAGGTAAAAAAAATTTCTGTTTAATGTGGAGTATTTAAAATTATTATCGGGAAATAACAAAAAATTGTGATGGATAAGTACTATTGGAACACGGGTTCCTCGCATACTAAATCCCAAACTTTAATTCTATATAAATAGTTAAAGCCAAAATTCTAGACGTATGTTTGACACGATTTTGAAAGATCGGTTACAAAACCATCTTTTTATGTGAAAAGTAAGAACAGCTAATTTTGTTGAAATCTATACGATTTTTGCAAATACGTTACAATACCATCTTTTTATGTGAAAAGTAAGAAGAACCCCTAATTTCGTTGAAAATCTATTTTATTTCGGATTCTTTCTACATTTGGGTTTTTAATCTTTTCCAAGCGTTATATTTTGTCTTTTTGGATCAGTTTCACCGAAAATTAAGCAAAAGTGTGCAAGCCGTCAATAATAAAAGCATGTTGCAAATTTTTTCTAAAATCCCTCAAAGTTTAAATGTTAAAAGAAAAAGGTGTGTTTACGTATATCACTGTATTTTTTAATACACAAAAAGAAAAGATCAATTTTTACGAAAAGAATGATGTCTATTAAAAACATTTATAGATTTCTTTTTAAAAATCAATCGAAAATGAGTAGAATGATTTATAAACCTTCTATACTAAAATATCACGTCCCTACCCTGTTAAAAATGTAACGAGGGTTTTTTGGTATCCTAAACAAATAAATCTCCTAGACGTCCCCTTAACATATTTTGCCTTTCTTATGTATCGTTTGAAAAATGTAGAGCTAGAAGGTGAGACCATGACCTATCTCGCCAACCAGAAGATTTTGAAATTTTAAGATCAAGACTTGGTCACAAAGATTATTTATTACATAACTTAATTGATTATTCTTCAGTATTAGTTGAGCCGTTGCCATATAAGAAACGGTGTCAAAAAAATGTCTTATAGATAAACTGAGAAGGTAATCAACAAAATTATGCATGCGAAGAGTGCAAGCAAATCATTGAGAATGATAAAACCCTTTGTTGTCTTTGCGCAAATGTTTTATTTTTCTCAATTTAATTCTCAATTTGCTTAGGTAATATTCAAGATCTTACTGAGTTAAATCAATCTAGTAGACACGTGGTAACTCAGGGGCAAGTTTTAAAGAAGAACAAAATGTCAAATACATTTATCATTAGACATAAAGAATTAAAGAAAATAATATAAGGAAGAGTGGGTCTTCCCTTATTAAATAATTGCGTTCATACTTCAAAGACAAAATAAAAACACCAAAATGTATATTTTAACATGTTGACAAAAAAAGAACATGAAAAGATAAGTGGAGACATATCCAACTTGCGCATTTGCTTTTTAATTAACTAGTAAAAGAATAGCATATTAGGTTTTTAAGGTTGATATTTGTTTTGAAGATATAGTTAATTAACATTTCAACTTTATAATCATTTATCTTAATAACACTTGATAATTCAAGGTCCATCATCATTTGTAATATTGCAAGTGGAGAACTCTCCATGTATGGTTCCATATTAAAATATAATGTCATGATAACATTTTTCATTAAGATATCTTCATAAGAAAAATATTTGAAGTTTTGGAATTGATTTTCTTCAAACCTTATTAAAATCCCAAGATGTTCTGGCAAATACAATTATTGAAACAGATGGAAAATAAAGTCAATGCTATAAATTTCAACTTCTGGATTGTATTTTTCATAAAACATGCAGAACAATATAGTTAACACTAAGGTTATATTTTAAGTTTCGTACCATCCAGAGGACACTAGATTAATGATTTTATATATACGGGTCAAATTACTTACTAGAAGAACTATTTAAAACAATATGCATGGAAGAAAGTAAAATGTAAAAAATATAAAATAAAGACTACTTGTTGCATCATTGACCTTATAATATATTTTGAGAGAGATTGAGTAAAAATACTAATTTGCTTCTTAAATAATATTGACTTTATGAAAACGAATAAAAAATTGGATTAGTGGCCCTTAATGGTGGGGATTAGTTCGTAAGAATAATAAGAGAAGTGGGTCTTTTATGTCAGTTTATTGATTTGGTGGATCTTTATGGCTTTGCTGGCACTAAAGTATTGTTGTCTTGACTCATCTTCAACCCACTTCTGCAGTATTATGGAAGTATATGGAATATACAGGAAAAAAGGGTAAATAAACCCTCAACTTTTTTTGTGGGTTTTTAAACCCTCACCTTTTTATAAATGGTTAAATAAACCCTAATATTAATAAACTTAATTTAATTTTTTTTTAAATCATTATATTAAAACTGTAAGAAAGAAAAATAATTTAATTTATGATTTTTTATTTCAAATTTGAGTTTACGATTTTTTTTTCTAAAATTAGGGTTTTTGCGCTATGAACATTTATTCACCATTAAGTTGAGATTAGGAAAATTATTTTTGTTACAATTAGAAGTTATGTTATATAAACTACAAAAATTTATAGGATATCACATTTGATTTTTTTTTTATTCGAGTGTTCTAGTTTTGGATAAAAATATAGTTAAATAATGATTAATTAAATATAATTTATATTATATTTTTTTATTTATATTATATTTTATATATAGAAATTTTAATTGTTAGTCAATTTTATTTAGTTTGTCCAATGAAAATATTTTGATGTGGAAATTCATGTACTTTTCGTAGTATTATAAAATTTGGTTTGGTTTTACGTTAGTAAATTTGTGAGACCGAACCTAATAAACCTTTATTAATCAAAACTCATATTCGGTTTCGATATAAGAATTTACATATAATTCGTAATAAAATCGGTTTGGTTTCATGTTGATGAATTCTTGTAACACACCGAATAAAACTTCACTAGTTAACTTTTTTACATCCTGACTTACATATTTTCAAAATAGAAAAATATTATAAACTAGAATTTTAGAAAAAACACCCTAAATCAAATTGTTTTTATTTATTTATGTTTTAGTATAACTATTTTTTGAATTTAAATTAAGTTTATTAATACTAGGGTTTATTTTACCATTTATGAAAAAGTGGGGGTTTAAAAACCCACAAAAAAAGTTGAGGGTTTTTTCTATGTTTTTAAGAAAGGTGAGGGTTTTTCTACCCATTTTTCCGAATATACATGTTACTCTCCTAAATTTGAAACAATTATTAAGTTTCATTTTATTCTCACTTGTCATTATTAGATTATACGAACATTTTTATGCATATATTTTGATAGACATAGACCCAAACAAGTGAAGCAATAAATCAAGATAGATTAGCCATCTTGATTTATCCTATAGATAAACTTTAACTCTTTAAGAAATGTATATATAGACTATATATTATGATTTTTTCACCTCTTTTGGTTGCATAAGATGAAATTTTCATTGTAGACAATGAAATTTGATTGGTTGATGAGAAGATGATAGGTGAGAGAGAGAGGGGAAGATGGTAGCCATTAAGCAAACACAAATGTATAAGAATTGTTGCAGACAGCATTGTCACCTTCATCTCCACCACCTTTTTTCTCCACTACTTACATACTTTAAGTGAACAAACACCAAGACACACTCTTACACCAACAACTCTTAGGGGGTGTTATTGGTTTGTGATTGAAATGGAGTTTTGATGACTTTATAAAATCATAGAAAGTGAAAAAGTGAAAGATTTAGAAGAATTGTTAGAGAGTTTTCAATAGTCTTGTTGATTAGTTTTCTATAATCTTGTAAAGTCTCCCAAACAATCTCAATATTTCAATCATACTTTCCATGACTTTATTTTGTAAAGAAAAGTGTACAAAATCATAAACCAATAACACAATAACTAAAGTCATTAACAATCATAGATTGTTTTGTTTTAGTTGAATAATACAAAATTTTTAATGACTTTATAAAACTCTTAATCCAATAACATCATATTCATTAGGATTTTAAATGATTTTTTATAAGTCACAAACTAATAACACCAAATTTTTAAGAGAGTTTAACAAAATCTTGATCGAATAACAACAGATTCTACATAACAATTAAAGTCATTAAAACTCTATTTAAATCACAAACCAATAACACCCCCGTGTTGAAAATTTATTAGATAATGTGTGTTCTGTTGAGACTTCTACATTAAGGCCCAAAACTGAATTTCTAATCTAATCCCATCCATTCATCATCAAAAGCCCAATCTCGTTTTAAGAGTTTCTTAAAAAGACAAAATCTAACTATTAAATAGATTTTTTTTTTTGGACAAAAATCATATAGCTAAAATCTAACTATTCTAGATGCATTATTTTTAGCTAATTTCTTCATAAAATAATAAAACCTTGACTTAATTATTCGCTCTGTGTCACTATATTGATAAGTTAAGTAACAATGTAACATCGGACAACTCGTTATGGTTGAGTTTTATAGAAACCACAAAATCATTACTACTTTCTATACAAATTTTCATTATTTTGAGGCATTTCTCATATTTAAAATAGCAAAATTGCAAAATTAACAATACTCAAATGTATTCATTCAAAAACACTACATTGTTTTTTTTATTGAAAGAGCAAAGTAAACAAAGGAATCCACACCATATGAACCAACTTTGGAAACCAGAATTGGTCCCTATAGGAAGATTGAAAATCAGTAGAAATAATGATTGTTAATGAACTGAGAAGCGGTTGCAAGCGCTCCACCAAGAATGGCATCGATCACGATAGTGTCTTTGCCTTTCTTACCAACCGCAGAGAGCACTGCTCCTGTCGCCGCGCCTGCTAACATTGCGTTTTTCTGATACAAAAACCCAACCAATCAGTTTATAAGATCTACAAACTTATCTTAAACTGAAAAGAGTGTGAAATGTATTAGTACCCAATCTCTGCTGCCACGGATACGTTCGATTCCGTATTCTGTTCCAATATAAACTCCACCAGCAGCTCCTGAACATTTTCATATGTAGCAAACTTTAAACTTTACTTAAGCTGAAACACTACAATGAATTAGAATTTAGAAAGCAACTTACCCCAGTAAACACCTTCTTTACACAACTTCTTAAGCTGCAAAAATGTTTAGCAGAATTTTCAGAAAACTAAAACAAATCACACATTTCTTCAAACCAAAACACATAGATTTGATTCAGTAATGTACTCACCGCATGCTCCAAAGTGCTCTTGGAGAGACTCCCTACAATATATGAACCATGGAGTAAAAAATGATATTTTGCAGCTCCAACAAACAAATGTAATAAATGATAAGCACAAAAACAGATCCATCAAATGTGTCCACTAGTGTTCTAGATACAATCATGATTGTCTTAGGGATTTAGTAAAAGGAAACACTAAAACTTCTTCTATACTTTACTCATTCATCAAAATCACCAAAACCACAACAGTAAAGTTATATAATAAACATAGACAGAACAAGAACTAACACTTATGTGTTGTGTTTGATAAAGTTGAGGGCTTACCTTTGTCGATGGCCTTGTAAGTATCTTCTGCAAGAGATTTAGTGATTCCAACCTAAACCCATCAAAGAGAAAACAACAATGAGAAACAGATCACAAATGATCCATCAAAGAGAGAAAGAGAGATGAGTTTTTTTTACAGCTCCGATCTTGAGAAAGGCATCAACAGTGAGATTGAGAAAAGGGTTTCCCATGTCAACCGCCACCGATAGCTTCGGTGTGCTCACGGTACCGGAGAATGTGCTTGAAGGCATCTTCTTCTTCTTCTTCTTCTTCTTCTTCTTCCTTTGTTTTTGGTTTTGGGATATTTTTTTTCTCTTTGATCTTGTTTCTGTAACAGTCTCAACTATTTTCTTGGGATATAAAGTGGCTTTAACGGTGGATATTTTAAACTTTGGTTCAACGGAGGAGAAGAGATTAACAAGGACCCACGAGGAGATAATGTATTGAGCAATGAGCCACTTAAATGACGACATTGTCCTCTTAGTCTAGAGCTATGCCAAAATCCAACCCACAAGTCTCGTGATCTCTTTACAACGACACTTGCCGACGTGAGCTTAAATAACTTAGGTAATAACGTAAAAATCGAAACTTTAGCAACAATAATCAAATCAAAGATTAGTCTTGAAGCAATAGAGTAAAAAAGACTCACAATGAACAATAGTATCTCACAAATGTTAACACACGCTTGAAACAAACAGACCAAACAAGAGTATGCGTTGCAAATTCAACACATCAAATCCCACATAGAACCGAGGTTTTGTTATTTTCCATATTGTACATAAGATTGATAGAGAGAAATGGAGAGTGAAAATGGCGATAGAGATCGATCTTACTTTCACTCTTTCCTGTGATGGCGTTTCCTGCTTTTCTTCTCGTACCGTTTAGAAGAGCCACGTCCAACGCGTGAAACATCATCGCCTGAAACATTGGCTTCTGAGTCAGAAGAAGCTGCGACTTTGTTCCTTCGCTTCTGCCTTCTATCATCTTCAGAGGACTCTGAATCAGAATCATCAGAATGATTACGACGGCTTCTCCTTCTCCTCTTCTCCTTTCTACTCTTTCTCTTCACACGTCTGTCGTCGTCATCCTCAGGCTCATCAGAATCATCTTCATCTCTCTTTCTTCCTCTCCTCTCCTTTCTTCTCTTACTCCTTCCCTCATCCTCATCCTCAGACTCACTCAAACTCCTCTTATGCGAACTCCGCTTCTTCTTCGACCTCCGCCTTCTCTTCCTATCTCCAGAATCTGAATCAGAATCAGACTCATCAGAAACACGCTTCTTCTTCTTCTTCCTCACCGAATTCGTCTTCTTAACACTACTACTACCCCCACCTTTCTTCTTCCCAAACCTCTCAGCAATAATCCTCTCCATCTCAGAATCAACATCCGAATCAGAACTCTCACTCTCCTCTTCCTCTTCACTACTCTCCTCCTCCAACTCACCTTTACCAACTCCTCTCCTAATCTTCTCCAACCCCGACAAAACCGCAGCCTCAATCGCAGCAGGATCTTTATCCTTATCCTCCTTAGTACTCAAGAAATTCCTACACTGAAACGTCAAATGCCCAACACGACCACACTTCTTACAAGAACCACGAGCCTCATCATTATTCGAACCAGTAATTCTAGCAAGAGCCAAAAGACCTTGAAAACTCGCATACGAGTTCTCAGGATCTTCGGTTTTCTGCTGAGTCGTCTTCGGTTCATCTTTACTAGTTGGTGCATAAGGATCATAACCAATCGCACTCTGCCATATTCCATGAGTCTGAAGCGCCGCACTACTATGCACCCGATTGTTTGCGGGCATACGCACTCTTCCCGCAGTCGCCGGCATCGTCTCAAAACCCTAGAAAAACTTCACAAACCTAACCAAAAACAGACAGATTGATATCGATTAATACCTTATCAAATCAATATCTTCTCCAATATAGAATTTGATCGATTTACCCAGATTACACAGAAACCTAAACCCTAGAAATTTTACAACCTAATGAAAAGAGACAGACTTCTCAATCAATATCTCCACAATTGAATTTCATCAATTACCCAGTTTTGGCAGAAATCTAGGGTTTCAATCCCCAAATCATCAAAATGTGAAACAAAAACTAACACAAATCCTAGGGTTCTAGTGAAAGGAAGATCCTAGGGTTCCAATCGATCCTAAGAGAAAGAGAAGAGTAAGTTGTTTACCTGATTCGAGTGAAGAAATCGTTAGGAAGAGATGATTGATGAAGAAAGGCTCGAATTTTCTTCGCCAATGGCCTCTGATTCGATGAGAGAGGCAAAAAGGAAAGATGAGTTAGTCTGGGGGCATATTATAAAGATTGAGAAATAGTTGGAACCGACTTTAACTTTTGTTATTTTACAATTATATCCTCCAGTTCTTGTGTATTTCTATTTCAAGAAAATATTTTTTTAAGAATGAGAGATGAACATAGAAATAGTTCTTTGTAGTTAAAATTTTTGGAACAGATTCAGAAAATTTATTCCTGTGAATTGAGATCGCCGGAATGTGTTCAAGTTAGTCGTTGAGGAACTACCTAAAATAATCTTCGACGTAGCTAGTACTGATGAGCATTTCAACCCAACTCCATATAATTCAACATCGCGATATAAAAGAATAAACCAATGTTCAAGAAAGTGTTAGACGCTAAGCAAACGATAATCCAATGTCTAGCGCCTAAAACGTCAAGTCGAGGCTTAGAAAATTTTAGACGGTTTAGACTTTTATAAGAAAAAAATTACAATAACGTAAAAAAAAATTACTAATATGATATTATACATGACAATTATATATAGTATCAAAAAAATATATATATTAAATCATAAAAAAAAAATTGGACAAAACATTTATTTAATTTATATCAAACAATCTATGAACTTTTATAACTATGTATATGAAGATAAAACTTAGTTGAAAATTAGAAAAATATGCTAAAACGATGTCTATGCAATTTTAGGCGGCCTAAGAGGTGGTATAAGCGTCGTCTGAGCGTGTATACCGCTTTTTAGAACACTGAAAAAAAAAATCCTTCTCAATTCGAATCAAAAGTCCTAAAAAAACAGAATGTCATTTAGCAATAGTGCTAAAGAGCCTCGAAATTTTGGTTGGCCTTAGAGCATCCGCAGTGGTGTATCCTTACGTGGGGTGTATCTATTTTAAAATACAGAAATAATGCAAAAGTTGTCTCTCTCTTCACACCCGGATGTAAGTTTACACTCGGGTGTAAGACACTCTATCTCTCTCTCTCTCTTTCTTTCTCTCTCTCTTTTCTCTCTCACTTTAAATTATAATAATAAAAAAAATCTTACACCCCTCCCTCACACTTACACCACTGCGGATAGTCTTAAGGTCCCTTTGCCCAAAAAAAAAAACAATGGGCTGGGCCTGGCTGCGTCGAGTGGATTAGGTCGGGTATATTTTAACTTTCTAAGAAAATAGTTAAATATGTGATCAATCATTTTTTACTGCTGTAATAAACCATCATCAAATACTAACTGAAAAAAACTTCAGATAAAACAAACAAAACTGCGCATAAGCTTAATTTAAATTTAGTTAGTTTTGTGTATTCATGAATAGATCTGCTCAAGATTAATCAAAAAAAAAAAAAACTCATAAGCTTATTATGAATAACAATTTAATTAGCTCGAATATTCTCCTCTTAATCCTTCCCGCCACCTTCCTCTCCGCAAAACTATAACTAAATTGCGTTAATTCAGTTTTTCACCAGTTCATCACACAAACACACTAATCATAATTAACACTAAACAATAAAACATAATCCATATTTAAGAACATCACTATGCATCCCCAATATTCCATTACCTCAAATCATTTTCATAAAATTAAAAAAAAAATGGAATCAAGTTGTTGTGGAGATTACATGACGGCGGCGTCACCGGAGATGGCGACGGTGACGGGATCAGAATCAATAGCGTTGAGACTTCTCTGTGTAGTCTTTATCATTCTCTTCTACGGATCGATAATTCTTCTCTGTTTCGTAATGTACCCGAAGCTACCGAAAGAAGAAATCGGCGACGAAGAAGCCGGTGAGCCGTTACCTCCCGCCGTGAGACTCACGAAATGCGGCGGTGGAGACGGCGGAGACGGTGACGGAGTTAAAGCTGACGTGTGTGTGATTTGTTTGGAGGATTTCAAAGTAAACGACGTCGTTAGAGTTCTTGTGAGATGCAAGCACGTGTTTCACGTGGATTGTATAGATTCGTGGTGTTTTTATAAGCTGACGTGTCCGATTTGTAGAGCTCCGTTTCAGTGGTTTGGTGGTGATTGGTAGAGGGAGAGGAGTGGAGGTTTAGAGTTTAATGTTCGGTATGATCCGGTTTAATCCCAATTTCGATATTTTTACTGTCTTTGGGATTTAGAAAATTTAAGGATGGTCTTAAAAAATTTCTATCCGGTGGTTGTATCGTGATGTATGTGTGTATATATTTGGAAAGGATAATTATAGATTTATAGGAACGAAATCTACGGATTACGGTATTTTTGTAACACTATACCGATTGTGGTTTGGTTTCAAACTTTGCGGTAATCTATGTTTAATTTTAAATAAGATGAAATTTTCGAATGTTGTCTTTTTTTTTTTTTTTTTTTTTTTTCTCTCATCAACCACATACTATTAATTAAAAACTAATTGATTATTCAATATAGAGAGAAAAAATTTATAAATATGACTTTTAAAATAATAATCTAGAATAACAACCTAAATAATCTGTCTTAAAATTACGTAAACGGGAAATAGAAGAAATCGAAAAGAAAAAAAAATAAACACGGAACAATCCAAACTCATCTAGTAGATTAAAAAATGTGTATCATTCTAAAGGAGACTGCACCATCAATACAAACTCTAGTTGATGTTAATAATTTTTATATTCATTTGAGCTTTTTATATATAAAAATTATTGCAAAACTTTAAAGATCGTGTTAATTTTATCGATTAGTGTAATTTTTAGTTAAAAATTTATTATTCGGTTAAAAATATGTATGCACTATATTTAGTAGTTAGTATGATTATTATTTAACTTTTATTATTATTTAACTTATTTCACACTAACCAAAATGATTTCGTCTGTTATGGGCTGAGGCTTTCCACCGAATGAGGCCAGAAAGTTTATGGATTTAAGATAAGATAATATATCCTTAGTTTATCTTCTTTTTCTGTTTTTGTTGATAAGATATGTCACATTAAAGAGAAAAATTGACAACTCTTCCTAACCTAACCTGCCTCATAATAATATCGATTTCGGCGTTGACTTTTGTATAAACGAAACTAACAAAGTACATGTGAACCGTACGGATAAAGAATCATCATTTGAAGAGTCAATATATGCTATAGGTTCTTCGATGACATCATACACCACTTTGACACTTGCTCCCTCAATTTGTTTGACTTCTCATTACATTTATTTCTTTCGTCAACACCTTCTTTGCTTCTAGATGAAATCCCATTTGAAGCTACAATATCAATGTTCTAGTATGTTTTGTTGAGTTTGATGTGATACTGATACATATTTTTTGGAAATTGACTTTCTATTGACTTGACCGAGAAAAGAGTTTCTTACATTCTATATTTTTTGTTTATGAGATGAAGTAAATGTAGTCGGATAGTAGTTGGATCTGATATAATGAGTAGTATCGTCTAACTGGAGGAACTGAAATAAAGAAAAAAAAATCTGGAAAAGTCTAACATCTTTGTCGGAAATATTTTGAGTTAAACACTAGATTTGTCTTAAAACCAAAAACAAAACTAATTTTAGGTGTTATTATCGTCACTCATTTTTTTTCCTTTCATCAGCCACACTTCTACTACCCATGCAATAGTTATTTGTGTTTATTTTTTTGTCAAACTGTTTTAATGTCTTTTGGGTCCAAATCATTACTCACGAGCTATTTTTCTTAAATAATCACGAGACACGAGCTACATACAAGTAATCTGATATTTTACGATAGAACCGTGACGAAATTTTTATATAAAGATATCGATATTATACGATGGCAAAGGTTGATAACCTTAAAAGTCAATAGCCGGCCATCTGCCTATGGACCATTTATTTTTTTCGTTTATTTATCTTTTAAATGACAGCGGAGATATAACGTTATAGTAGTACATTATTACTAGTCAACTATTATACTCCTACTACTTTATTTTAGAGATGATTTTGGTTAGACAATTATTACATAAAATACTTACACTTGCAAGGTTATTTGGTACTCGGTTTTTCAAACTTAATCATTAATCAGGAAAACAGTAGTTAAAGACATGATTAATTTACAGATTAGTCAAGTCAACAAAAGAAAATATTAAATTGGGTTTTCATCGTCATTAGAAAGATCAATGGTAAAAAGAGCATTGGTTATTTGAAATTTATCGCATTTGTAATCAAAGAGTACAGTTCAAATAACTCGATTGACTTTTAGTCATTATAATTTCAACGATGATTGGTATTATGATATATAGTATCTATCTGGAAAATGTCTTCTATACGTATTAATTAGCCTTAATGTTTTATGACATAGAATGGTCCCTTTCTGAATATGATAACTCAGATGATCATTCAAGATCTTAATTTGTTGATTTACTCTAATCTGTGAAATTGACTTACTAAAAACCGGAAAAATGGGTAAAAAAACCCTCACCTTTCTTAAAAACATAGAAAAAACCCTCAACTTTTTTTGTGGGTTTTTAAACCCTCACCTTTTTATAAATGGTTAAATAAACCCTAATCTTAACAAACTCAATTTAATTTTTTTAAAATCATTATATTAAAACAGTAAGTAACAAAAAAATTTTAATTTATGATTTTTTATTTCAAATTCGAGTTTACGATTTTTTTTTCTAAAATTAGGGTTTTTGTGCTATGAACATTTATTCACCATTTAGTTGAGATTAGGCAAATTATTTTTGTTATAATTAGAAGTTATGTTATATAAACTACAAAAATTTGTAGGATATCACATTTGATTTTTTTTTATTGGAGTGTTCAGGTTTTGGATAAAAATATAGTTAAATAATGATTAATTAAATATAATTTATATTACATTTTAATATATCGTAATAATATAGAAATATTAATTGTTAGTAAATCTTATGTAGTTTGTCCAATGAAAATATTTTGATGTGGAAATTCATGTACTTTTCATAGTATTATAAAATTTGGATTGGTTTTACGTTAGTAAATTTGTGTGATCAAACCTAATAAACCTTTATTAATATAAACTCATATTCGGTTTCGATATAAGAATTTACATATAATTCGTAACAAAATCTGTTTGGTTTCACGTTGATGAATTTTTGTAACACACCGAATAAAACTTCACTAATTAACTTTTTTACATCATGACTTACATATTTTCAATTTAGAAAAATATTGTAAACTAGAATTTTAGAAGAAACACCCGAAACCAAAATTTTCCTATTTATTTATGTTTTAGTATAACGATTTTTTGAATTTAAATTAAGTTTTTTAATACTAGGGTTTATTTTACCATTTATGAAAAGGTGGGGATTTAAAAACCCACAAAAAAAGTTGAGGGTTTTTTCTATGTTTTTATGAAAGGTGAGGGTTTTTCTACCCATTTTTCTCTAAAAACCCATCACGATTTAATATACTAAGACCATACACAGTGGTGTATGTTTTGGTAGGGTGTGAGTATTATTAAAAAGGAAAATAATAGAATAGTGTAACACATGGGTGTGAGATAACACTTGGGTGTGGGTATTATTTTAATGTTTTATGTTTCATCTATCTCTCTCCTCTCTCTTTCTCCTCTAACCAAATCTCTCTCTCTTAAAAAAAATTATAATAAATATATTGGTCACACCCGAAACTAAGGTTTCCCACTGTGTATGCCCTAACAAAGACCATTCAACATTGATAATAAAATATAATCTGATGGTGACGATCATGATAGTCATAGTGATGGATCAATCAAGAATCCTCTTTAGGTTGGAAAATGGACTACCTAATAAACAATTTTAGGATTACGCTCAACAAAACCCACAATAGTCTATTCTCGTTGGTTTCTTCTCAATATTATATTGTTGCTTGTTTTGCACCAACAAAACGTACGGACCACATACTTTCGTGATTAGGCTTCTTTCAACAAAATTTGATTGGCAATATTAAACAATCATTGTCTTAAATAACATATGATTATCCGTTTCACTTAATCTTTGTTACGGTTTCATCTGGCGTCGATATTTCAACTATAGAAACTATAAGGATACCATTCAAAAGAAATAATCTCTAAGATCAAGAGTTTGAATAGCGATGACGAAGTATAAACTTAAAATTTAAAATTCTTAATTAAAAAGGGGTAAAACACACATATAACAACATCAGTAATTTTCAGTTTGAATACCATTAAATCATCCGCAAAATATAATTATGTGTTCATAATATAATACCGGATTAAACATGATATATGATGTCTAAGGGCATATGCAAGGGTGCATCTTTGAAGATTGATCTTAAGGGAGAAAAAATATTAAAATATTATAAGAGCTTTAATTAAGATCTTTTGTAAAGTAATTGATTATTGGTAGAACATGTTTAGATCATATGAATTAATAATTTAATAATCAAAACATTTTAAAGTATATTAAAATTAAAAAATTAGTTTTAAAATTGAAAACATAAAAAAGTAAACTTATATTAACATTGATTTGAAAATAAAAAGAACAAAAAAACATTAAAGATATAAATGAAAAACAAAAAAACAATCAAACATATTAATTAAAGGTTACAAACATTTTATTTAATTAATACAAAGTTACAAATATTTGAAAGATTTTCGTTATCACAAATCGCAACGAATCAGACCATGCCACGTCGCCACAAGATCAGCCCAAAAACAGTTCTAGCCCAAGAACATGAGAAGTGTTCTAAACCCACTTTTTACAAAGTTTATTATTATTAAACTCTAAAATCAGGCCTGAAGATGAGCCGTTAAACATGGTCTAACAATGATAAAATGGTACGCTAAATAGAAAATCCTTGATTAGACCATCTTTATCGGTACATCTGTACCAATGATCTTATGAATAAAAAAATAGAAATTAATGAAAAATGGGTCAAGAGCATATAGAACAGGTCTCAGACAAGATCTGTTCTTTCGGAGGTCTTGCGCCAGGTGGCGAAAGGTAAGTGGGTAACAATTTTTTAAAAAACCAAAAATATTTTCATATCTCACTCTCTCTCCACCTATCATCATATTCTCTCTATCTTTCTCTCTCTCTTACCTTATTATAATACTATTATAATTATCATAAGATCTATCTTTAAAGATATACCCATAAATATGCCCTTATTAAGACCACAAGTTCTGTAATATATTAATATATATAAATCATGGGAACTTTTTGACTCAACAAAATCCTCTCCCTAGCTTTGTTTTACTCTTTTTTCAATTGGTTCAATAATTTGATCTCCGTTAGTTATTAAAGTACCCATCAAAAAGGGCATCCGAAAAAAAACCCTAGTTTTGTTTCTCTCTCGAGAAGTCAGCCGCCGAGAAAAATTTCTGGTTCTGTGGCCGGATCGCGGTGGCTCTACTAGCACCGGATCCGGTCACATCGTCTCTGCTTTAGTTTAGCTTTTTGTTCTCAGTTTGTTGCGGCTCTGATTGAAGAATAGAGAAGGCGAGATGGGTTTCTAGGTTGCGGTGGTTCGATTGCGATGGAGCTTTTGGCTTGAGGATGAGTTGGGTGGTGCTTTAGATAGGCGATTCCTCTCCTCGTCACGGCATGGACTTCAATTTTGTCTCTTCCCAAATCTGGTTTTCTCGAGAACGAAATCGACTTTGTGGAGGGATAGCGATGGTTATCAAGGTGGTGATTAGGAGAGGCATGGTTCTCGAATCTGGAATTGGTGGCGAAAGATCTCTGCTTCAGGAGTTGGTGGTGGTGTCTTTGGGTTGTGGCTTTCTGCAGCGGATGATAGGTTGTGGCTTTGTCAGCTTTTGGCTGCCGGTGGTTGCAAGGTGACAGACGCTTTTCGTTTCTGGTCCTTGTCGGGTTTACGCTTTTCTCGCTTTTCTCTTTTCGGATGTTAATAGTTGTATGTTTGTGTTTGGCTTGTGGTAGTTGTTGTTGGTGGGTTTAGTTGGCTTTTATCTTTGGACTAGTTGGGGTCATGGTTTTGCTCTCTGTTATCTCATGAAAGCTCCGGGGATTGGTCGTGTTTGGCTAGGTTTTGGATAGCTTTCGTTTTATCCCATCTTTGTTCGTTGAATCTTTTAAGTTTGTCTCTTTCCACCGCCTCTAGTTTAGAATAATAAGTAGGTTTTCTCTCGTGGTCTGTTCCCTGTCTGTTCTTGTGGGGATGCAAAGTTCTAGATTTAGACTTGTTCGGTAGAAGACTAGGTGGTTAGGTTTAAGATTCGCGATTGTGGTTTTCTTTTCTCGGGATATTCGTTTTTAGTTGGGTTATTTCTTCGCGGTTTCCTCTATCCTTGGTTCTACTCCGTTTGCGGTTGTAGGTCTTCTAGTCTGCTCCTTTTGAGCTCTTAGTTCCGCTTCTATTGTTCTCCTCCGATTTTCCCGATGATTTCGAGAGCTTAACTTTTTGACTTTAGTCCTATCTTATGTTTCCCGTGTATCGGGCTTTAGCTTCCGGGGATATCTTTGTTTTCCGCCGGCTTTTGTATTTCAAAACCGTATTCCAAAAACGCATTCCACCCTTGTATCTGTCCTTTGTATTATATAATGAAATCTTTCAGTGAAAAAAAAAAAAAAAGTTATTAAAGTACATAATGATATTTCGGTTGGTTCACGGTAATAAGTTTGCACGAGACTTTTGTGGTATTAAAGTACATAATGATCTTTTAATTAGATATTATTAAAGCATAGGTGAAAAATAAAGTAGATCTTTTACTGTTTTACAATGTGTGACGACTGACAAGAAACATGGACGTGTTAGGTTGGATAGTTAGCTAGATACTATCACGGGCATTGTTTGATTCTTTCTGGCAAATAATTCATATGATATTAGTCCACTAACCACGAGCCCTTTTTGCAGATTGACTTTCTAACAATTTATAATAGTATTATCTTCATAGAGAAATTCATTAGGTCCATAATTAACAATAAAATCCTATAATCTTCTTCATAAACTGGAAAATGATAACAATCGGACAGAAAATGATTCATCTCCATCATAATTTGTTGTCTTTGATGAAGAATTAATACTTACTAATAGAAACTCTTTTATTGACCAAAAACAATGTATCTTTAAAAAGAAAATTGCACGGATTTTATTGGTTGGAATATTAAGATTTTATTTTGTCATAGGATATGGTCAACGAGACATAAGTCTATATTCCTCACTAGCTCGTGTCCCTTTTTCGTTCGGATCCGGACAAAGATTTTGGATCGACAAAATTTTAGAAATGGTTTAGAGTAGTGTTTTATCCCTCTTACAATTATTCGAAACAGTGATATTTCACAATAAATTCTCAAATGATCGTAATAATTCGTTAAATTCGGTATTAGCAGCACAAGTGCACAACCATTTAAATATAAAGCTACGTTTTGAGAGAATTAGACTATATCTTAAATTCGATACTAGCTTCGAAGATTACACAACATTTGATTTGAATTTTTTCAAATGAAAAACTATAGTGTCACATTACCGTATAACTTCTCATGTTTCGCAAAGAGTGTTATTCAAACATGTTTTACAAAAATAAAGAAAATTGTTTAAATTTTTTTTTACCCTTTATAAATACACTAAATGAGTTTTTCTATTCAGCCGAAATAATGGAGCTAAAAAAAGAGATTTAGTTTAAAATTTTGCATAAAAAAATATAAAACGATATTTTTTGTAAACTAAATATTAAATTTTAAAATGATATTTTTTGTGAAACAAAAGAAGAATTAACTTCGTGTAATTTATTTATGTGGTTCACTTAAGTCAATATCGCTGTAAAAAAAAAAGAGTCAGTAATTTTAGTTGTTGTATGTATAACAAAAAAACTTGTATGCCTATATTTAGTACAGGTGGATAGAATAGTATCAATGTCACGTAAAAGTTATTTGGTTTAATGTTTTCACGTAAAAGTTGCTAAAGAAAAGCAAATGAAAAAAAAATCAAATGTCTTGCTTTTACTTTTCAGGTGCCTAGCCGTGTTCAGAAATCAGAGACCAAGCAATACAATGATCAAATGTAATACCAACAGTTATTTAATGCGGATTGTTGACAAAGAAAACATTTCATGATCGGATTGTTGACAAAACAAAAAACAAGACCAACAAAATAAATGTAAGTTAAAAATGAACAAAAGAAATTTAATGATATTTAAAAACTTAGCAAAACCAAACCGACATGAGCTGAGTCAGGTTCATGTCGTCAAAGTTAGAACATCCGACGACTGAGAAAGCTTGGACCGCCGTGCAAGGGACTTACTTTTCTCCCTTCTTTTTTTCCTCTGACTTAACATAGCTAATTAATTTTAATTAACATCATAGTTTGAATATATTTAAATGTATTTTAATATATTTAACTAAATACATTAATTTTTAGTGAATTTCGGTTAAACAGTTCAGTTGGAAAATTTGGTATATAATTTTTTATTTTACCATTTGGATTATTAAAAACTTGGTTCCTCAGCAAAAACCTATTTGGTTCGGTAATTTTGTCTACTTGTAATTAAATTTTCTAATTTTTTGGATCAAACGATAATTTTATTTTTATCGGCATTGTTTTTTGTTACAGTTTTATTAACAGTTTAGTATTTCATTTTTGAATAATTTGAAACTAAAATTAGCGTTATACTTCCTATTACTAATTTTATTATTATTTTTTTGTTAAATTTCATACTCGGTCTGATTGGTAACTAAAAGTTATACAAGTTTTTTAGCTGTTAGCTGGAGCTGTAAGGTTTACCGGAATAATGCAAAATTGTAAGAACGCGCTTTACAAAAAAGCTGAAAGTAAAACTATTAGGAACGCTTTTGATAAAGTTTTCGTGATTGGTAACTGTCAAAGCTATACACCCTTTACCGCTTTGATAATAGGTTGCCATTCAAAGCCACTTTTTTTTTTTTCTATTTCAAAACTCATATAGTATTATTCTTGGACAATAATCATGCCTCCAATATAAAACAAAAAACAAAATTGACGGAGACAAATAAAAAAAAAACAAATTTGACATTGAATTTAAATGCTAATATTTTTCAAAAAAGTAGAAAAAATAAAGAGAAGATGGGTTTCAAAGGCGGGACCGGTCCGCCATCAATGCCACCTCCCAACTCCTTTCTCTATCTCTCTCTCTCTCTCTCTCTCAGCTACTTGCAACAAAATTGCAAAATTGTCGACAGAAACTTCTCTCAAATTTAGTTCCTTTCTCATTTATCCTCTTTAATCCACCAAAAACAAACTTCCAAATCTCTCTATCCTCACAAACTTTGTTCTGTTTCTCCTTCAACTTTCCATAGATAAAGATTAAACCTTTTTGATCTTTAGTCTCTAATCTCAAAAGGGTTTTGTTTAAATCTCCTCAAAACCATGGGGATTTGCTTAAGTGCTCAGATTAAAGCTGTGAGTCCAGGTAAGCCAGGTACTTCAAGCTTTCATGTTTTTAAAAATAATTTTACCAAACATGCAAATGTTAATGATTTAATTCAATTTAGAAGTTTTCATTTTAGTTGGTATAAAGTAGGGTCTTAAACTAAGATTTTGTTTGTTAATTTTAATTTTTATATTTCTGAAAGTTTTATTCAATTTGAGGTTAGGTTTTTTGGTGGTTGGAGGATAAAATGACTTAACTTAAAAGTTAGGCTTAATGTATTGACAAATCTGTCAAAGGTTTCATAATAAATTGATTAAATTATCTAAAACTTTGTCTTTTTTTTTAGTTGTTTGGTTGAATTCACGCTTCATCATCATAATCAAAACAAATCAGAGTTTTACTTTTGTCTGATCTCTAAAAACAAAACATGAAAATGGGATTTGTCACAAAAGTGAAATCTAACGTTTTTTTGTATGTTAACTATGTGTTTGGTTGTTGTATAGGTGCAAGTCCGAAGTATATGAGCTCAGAGGCTAATGATTCACAAAGTATGGGAAGCAAAAGCTCTTCTGTGTCAATCAGAACAAACCCAAGAACTGAAGGAGAGATCTTGCAATCTCCTAACCTCAAAAGTTTCACTTTTGCTGAGCTTAAAGCAGCAACTAGGAATTTTAGACCAGATAGTGTTCTTGGTGAAGGTGGATTTGGTTCTGTTTTCAAAGGTTGGATTGATGAACAGACTCTTACTGCTTCTAAACCGGGAACCGGTGTGGTTATTGCTGTTAAAAAGCTTAACCAAGATGGTTGGCAAGGTCACCAAGAATGGCTGGTAAGATTCAAGAAGTTGATCAAATTCAATCTTTTTGAAGTTTGAAGAGATTTGAAGATTGTTTAATGTTTCTTTGATTGATGTTGTTGTTGTAGGCGGAAGTGAATTACTTGGGGCAGTTTTCACATCCTAATCTTGTGAAGTTGATTGGTTATTGCTTGGAGGATGAGCATCGTCTTCTTGTTTATGAGTTCATGCCTCGTGGAAGCTTAGAGAATCATTTGTTCAGAAGTATTGTTTCTCTAACACTCTTGTTGATTTTCAAGATTTTGTTTGTTCAAAAACGTTTTCGAGTATTCAGATTTTGTTTCATGTGGTTGCAGGAGGTTCTTATTTTCAACCGTTATCTTGGACTCTCCGGTTGAAAGTTGCTCTTGGTGCTGCGAAAGGTCTTGCTTTTCTTCATAATGCTGAGACTAGTGTCATATACCGCGATTTCAAAACGTCGAATATACTTCTTGATTCGGTATATATTTCCGCTTTTTTTTCCATCTTGGATTTGATGGAAAAAAACTGTGCAAGAAGGCTTTATGTTAACCCTTGTCTTTGACATGATCACAGGAGTACAATGCTACGCTTTCTGATTTCGGGCTGGCTAAAGACGGTCCAACGGGCGATAAAAGCCATGTCTCTACACGGATCATGGGTACTTACGGATATGCTGCTCCTGAATATCTTGCAACTGGTTAGTCTTGAAAGTCATTTCTTTCTGTGATTTGATAAACTTCTTTCTAATGGCCACTGACTCTTTCGTTTTCCTTAGGTCATTTAACAACCAAAAGTGATGTCTATAGCTACGGTGTCGTGCTTTTGGAGGTGTTGTCTGGACGGAGAGCTGTGGACAAGAACCGTCCACCAGGAGAGCAAAAGCTAGTGGAATGGGCAAGACCGTTACTTGCAAACAAAAGGAAGTTATTCCGGGTTATCGATAACCGTCTACAAGATCAATACTCAATGGAAGAAGCTTGTAAAGTAGCTACTCTGGCGCTGAGATGCCTCACATTCGAGATAAAGCTGAGACCGAACATGAACGAGGTTGTTTCTCACCTCGAACACATCCAAGCTTTGAATGAAGCAGGAGGAAGAAATATCGATAAGGTCGAGAGAAGAATGCGTAGGAGAAGCGATAGTGTTGCTATCAACCAAAAACCAAATGCAGGTTTTGCTCGGCAAACTGCTGTGGGCGTCATAGCTACTGCTTATCCACGCCCGTCTGATTCGCCTCTGTTTGTCTAAGTAAGAAATGATGTTCTGTTTAGTTCGGATGTACAGTTTTGTATCTGCTTATGTACCGAAAGGATTCAGTTCATGGCTCGTTTACACGTCGCAGAGATTTGACATTCAATCTGTGTAGTGCGAGAATTGACTAACATAAGTATAAATGATCTCATGTCTTCAACTTCAGGCAAATGCACATCAATGAGACAAAGAGAGTCGATAATAATAAGCAAGAGGCTTTCTTTTTTGGTGTTTGATATTTTCAATTCTTTGGCTAAGAAGTTTATATACAGTGAAGACACTATTTTTACCATGTTCTGACCAGTCCCGGTGTCCAGTTTCGCCAGTCTAGCTTCAAAAGCGACTTGTTTAAGTTCATCTTATCCCTGAGATCAAGAACCTTCTTACGATAACTACTCCCTTGCTTCTTTAGCTCAGGCTCACTCTCTGCATTTATCTCAGCTTTGATGATCTCTTCTGTTTCATCAGCAACTGGCGGAGGAGCGTTTTCCGCTTCTTCATCGATTATGCGTCCAAGAAGTGAAACGACTTCGCTCATTCTAGGCCGAGATTTCGGTTGCTTCATTAGACATTTGTTTGCTAAAGCAGCTACTCTCTGAACAGACTTCATACAGTAGTACTGGCCTTCGAGCCGCGGATCGACAATCGCATGGAATTTCTTCGAGTCTGATACATAAGGTTTCACCCATTCTAAAAGCTTCTGTTCCCCCCGAGGTCGATTTCTATCAACTGCTCGTCTTCCCGTGATCAGTTCATACAACACTACCCCAAAGCTCCAAACATCGCTCTTTGCCGTCAATTTCCCCGTTTGTACATACTCAGGAGCCGCGTAACCAACCGTACCTACAACCTTCCATACAAGACAAGGTTACAAACTTCAAGAGATGTTATGTTAAAGAGTGCTCCAATAGAGATACATACTGAAGTTGAGACATGACCAAGTCCTTCGGGTGGTCCTTGCCTAGCTAATCCAAAATCCGAAAGCTTTGCACCGAATCTCTCGTCAAGCAAGATGTTTGAAGACTTGAAATCTCGAAATATCAACTAAAACATAAACAAAGAAGCAGAATCAGAACAAAAACACAAAACAGTCTTAAGACTTAAATCATAAAAATGGCAATGAAATGCTAAGTTTTAACCTGAAAATCCATTTCTTCATGAAGATAAGCCAAGCCTTGAGCAGCATCTTGCGCAATCTTCAACCTCGTCATCCACGGAAGCGATACCGACACAACTCGCCCCACGAGATGATCCTCCAAGCTTTTATTACACATAAGTTCGTAAACTAAAAGCCGCTGCATCCCTCTTTCATCATCATCAGCACAATACCCAACTAACTTCACAAGATTTGGATGATTCACTACTCCTAGAAAATTCACCTCATTGATCCATTCTTTATGCCCCTGAGTACTAGACCAAAGCCACACACACAAAGATTTACCACAAGACATAAACACACACAACAAATCCAATCACAAAACACAAAGTAAAGTTCCTCCTTTTAGGTTCAAATTTGGTAGTAGCTCAGGACTGAGTCATACACACACATAATAACAAACCCACTTCGAAAAATCAATCACAAACCACAAAGTAAAGTTTCTCCTTTCAAATTTCATCGTTTCTTGAATCAATTAGGTTCAAAGTTGAAACCTTTACGAGACTAATTGAAGCAGAACAGAGTAAAAAAGATTAGAGTCATGCCTGTAAACCTTGACGATTAAGCTGTTTAACAGCAACATTAATCTTCGAATCAAAACCATTAGAGTCTGAAACATCAACAACACCTCTATAAACGCAACCAAACCCTCCTTCACCAATCAAAAGACCTCTACTAAACCCTTTAGTAGCCACCTTCAGTTCTTTGAAAGTAAACACCTTTAGATCATTCTCAGGAACAAGTCCACCGATCCAACGTTGACTTAATGGTTTGGGAAAACTAAGTCTTTCCGGTGAGAAACTCCAGTCTGAGTCAAACTCAGACCGGCGAGTTGGGTCTGAAGTGGTTGATGATGCTACGCTTAAAGACCGAGCCCATGAGAGTCTTGAAGCTCTTGAAATAACACTGTCTCCTCCTCCTCCTTCGTCGATTGTTGTTGTTCCTCTCTTGTCGCCATTGGTGAAGTGAAAACACTTCATGTTCTTCTTCTTCCCCCAAATCAGACCGAGTCAACGAAAATAAAAATGGAGACTTTTTGAAGAAGATGATACACTTTGAAGATGGGTTATGATCTGATGTGACAGGTTTTAACTTATTGTTGATGACGTGGCGAGTTAAGAATCGTCGATTTTGAGAGATCTAACTTTTCTTGACTTGACCTAAGTTACAACTAAATTTCGTATAGAAGTAGTTTGCTCCTAGGTTGCATGGAATCAGAAGCGGGTACGCGGAAGCGAAGCGTTTGGAAACGTGGAAGCGATTTTTTAAAAAATTTTAGGAAGTGGGTACGTGTTGGAAGCGTATATAGAAATTAATATATATATATATATATATACATATATAATAAAACATTAAGCATTATATAATATTGAAACATATAATTAACCACGCAAATCTAATACATAAATTTTAAATACTTCAACTACAAATAAAAACCAAATAGTTTATTTTTACAATTAATAAAAATAAAATAGTTCAAAGTCAAAATTTTAGATCACTATCTTCACTCTCATTTTCTTAATTCCATCCAATAAAATAGTTTTAAATTCCATTTTATCGATAACACATCATCAAATTCAAGTTTCTCAAAGTTTATTTAAGTCAATTATTCATTCCAACATTTTCCAAATAAATAATTTATGTCGTGGTTATTTTGTTAAGCATGATCTTTTAAAAATAAAATAAAAAACTTAGTATGCAAAAATTTAAAATTTAAAATTAGTTTTGGTTTCTTTTAATTGTAAAAAATACTATAAAAAATAATTTCATGTTTCTTATTAATATTTGACTATCAAAATTTTTAAATGGAAACGCAAGCTTCCAAAATAGAATCGTAAGCTTCCAACGAGCTTCCAAAGTAAAATTTTTGGAAACGCTATGGAAGCGAGATTCCAAAAGCTTCCGATTCCGACTAAGATTCCGAAGCGGGAAGCGGACCTTCGACGAAGCTTCCGTGCTTCCTAGGTTTGCTCAGAACGAGTAATAGAGTCACATAATTGATTTTATTTTTTTCGTGTGTGTGTGTGTGATACAAAAATTGATATTTTAAAGTTTAAATCGACCACATTAATGAATTTAAAATGGAAAATTCTATAAAATAAATAAATTATTTATTTATTAAATTGTTAATGCACGAGTTTTATTAGGTAACCATAAATATACATATGAATTATTCAACTTTGATTTTGAACGCACCGAGATTTTGAACCAGTCTCGAGGATTGTTCAACTTGATTAATTCCACTTTTATTGTTGTTGTTGGTTGATCGGTCGATTCATTTTTTTCTTCTTCACCTAACTCTCGTATATGGAAACATGGACATTTTGATGGGTTTTTTTGGGACTTCACTTTGACATTTGATGGGCTTTTTTCGGACTTCACTTTTAAATTTGAATGAATTAGTTTTTAGGTTTTACTATTTAGTTCCTCAAAAAAAATCTGATCTTATTATATAAAGTATGGTTTTCAAAGTTAATAACTCGCATGATCGTGACACGTGTCAAATATATCGATCAGAAAATATTTAACTTTCTTCATTAACGAAATAGGAAAACTAAAAAAAAAGAAAATTTACATATACTAATTTATATATCTAATTTTTAAAATTTGTTAACTTTATTTTTTTTAGCCAAAAAAAAAACTAACAATTTCTCTTCACATGTGTTATTGGTCAATTAGATTTGGCATGTGTTAATTGTTTATATAAAATCATTTAGTATGGATATCAACAAATAAACAATAACGGTTCAAGTTTTAAATAACAATATAAGTTATTTAACATTAATTTAATTGGATAAAATTGTATTTATCATCGTAATATAGTGTTTTTATTCGTCAAATAAAAACATAAAATTTTTACAAAAAATAATGAGCTTATAAAAACGAACAAATATTTGAATATTTGATAAGAAAATTAGTATGGTTATACTTAATTTTATTTTAAGAATTTTAGTGCATGTAGTCATAATTATAAATCAAAAATATTTGGGAAAATGGCTTATATGATTGAATTTTTGATTACTTAATGAGAATGTTAATATATATATATATATATATATATATATATATTTAATGATTTATTTATTAATTTAACTCATTTAAAATTAGTTTGCCATGAGGTAAAACTAACTTATGAGATTACGTTATATAGAAAACTATATTTTAAACAATGTTTGTTTTCCATAACTTTTGTGGATTTCTGTTTTTTTTTATTAAATGTTTTGTTATTTGTTAATTATATTAAAATTTTTAATATTAACTAAGATATAGATTTGATATGATATATATACGATTTTGATAAAAAATTATTATTAGCAGTTTATCCATTAAGATGAACTATGAAGACTTAAAATCAAGTTTATTATGATGTTATAAAAAGTTAAATTATATTGCAAAATGGAATGTGTAAGATTGAAATTTTGTTTTTAAAAAAATACTAAATTAAATATATAAAAAGTGTGTCGGTTACTATTTAGGACTTAAATATCATCAATACGAAAGATTGTGTAGAATTAAAATTCAGTTTATTACGATGAAATAAATAGTTAAAATGTATAGAAAAATGGAATGTGTAAGATTTAATTTTTGAATTAAACAAAAAATACTAAATTATTAAATATTAGGGAAAGTGAATGGATTACTATATTAATAAAAATTCAAATATCATCGATAATAATTTATATTTATATATTATACCCGCCTATTTAGGCGGGTCTTATCTAGTTGTATATAAATTAGAGAATACAAAATTTTGATGTTGTTAATTTAAATAATGCAAATTTCATTTATTGGTTTCAAAGATCAGTTACTAATTATGTAAAATAACATGTGAGACATTTTGTAGAAAAAGGAAGAAGTTTGGCCAAAAACTGATATGTTATTTACAAACTCAAAATTGTATCTTGGAACAATCAAAACTAAGCCAATATAAGTCAGTCCAAAGTTTAATTCATCACAAAAAAAAAAATCCTAACAACTCTCTAATAATAATTATTTGGATTCATATAGTAGATCAAATACATAGCTTTCCTTACTAGGTTAGTATCACTATATAAACACCAATAACCAAGATAGGTGAAAATACTATCACACGAACAGATTTCGAGAATGAGCTTATGAAACATAAGAAAAGGAACACATGAGGTTTGTTTGTAGCTAGTAGTTGAAATTATAGGGATCAAATATTCTAGAAATAATTGTTAGTCGGATTTATTTAGTAAATTAAAAAACATAACCAGATAAATCATCACAAATATAAAATGCCGAGATGATTTAGGTTTTTTCATAAAAAAAATTATCACCATAAAAACACCAATAACCAAGATAAATGTTAATATTATTACATGAACGGATTTTGAAAATGAATATATGACACAAAGCATAAGGAAAACATAATAAGTTTGTTTGTAGCTAGAGGAAATTATAGGGACCTTTGGTTTGTACAAGAATTACTCCGACCATTTCCTATTCCATGTCACAAAAATGTTATCCACATTTCATGAAAGTTAATACATGAGCAAATAACTTATTTAAGTATACAAAAAATTTATGTACAAAGAACTAAATTAAAACTAGATCACATCTCTCGATGGCCAATTATGTTTTTTGTGCCGTTTTTACGTCCATAACCAAGAAAAATTTATTAACAATCCATAAAAATTTTAAATACAAACATCATACCATCACTATTCATGTCACTGTTGTTTAAACATTGGCGCTAACGCGACGACCCCACCAGAACACCGTTTAAAGTTCCGCCACCACTGTTAACTCTACCACCGTGACAAATATAGTGATTAAATTAACTTGGATGGAAAATAAACTGAGAAATAAAACAAACTCATTGAATTAGTTTTTAAAAATAAATAATGGACTATAATATATATATATATATATATATATATATATGTGTGTGTGTGTATATATATTAGAGAGATATTTATGTTTTTGTTTAACTAAATATCATAAAATGTGGCAACCAAACAACCCCCAAAAAGCTAAAACCATAGTTTGTGATATCTAGCTATTTCATACTTCCAAAAATGCAAAAAAAAATATCTTTCATCAGAAAAAGCTAGTAAAGAACGAAATAAAAGCCAAAATAGTTGACAAACTAATGGATGTGATAATAAAACTATCAATTCACTTCTCAATTTGAGAAAATGCTAAGATTTTTCTTCAACATTTAATAGTTATTAAGTACCAATTTGGAGATTGTTACAACACATAAGTTTGTAATCTTAGATTATATAATAGAAGATTGCATCGTAATTGGGTCAACTTTACAATGAGCTTGGAATCACAAGCGTTTTGAAGCCAAAAAATCTATTTTGATCGGCGATGTGAAAAAATTTAAATCTAGGATTTTGTCGATTGAGAGGCAATGATAAGATTTTGAGTATTCCATAATCGTGGGTTTATAGATTTTTCTTAATGTAAAACATTTACTATTTAACTAGTTTTAATTCGATTGATTATAAAGGTAATTCTCTCAGTTTGAGTCTACAATAATGTTGAATACCAACAAAATTAATTGTATTTTTACAAAATAAAAATACTTGGGTTCACTCCTTTTATTCACCCCCTCTTTTTCTAACCAATAAGAATTTGTCATCTAATAAAAAATAATTAATTCATTTAACTATAAATTTTAATCTGCCTGAAAAACGAAATTATATATCGGTTTGGGTTTATAAGGGAGGGTTAGAGTTTAAATTTTATAATTAAACAAGGTTAAATATATGTTTGATTTTATAAACGAATTTAGATTTTACAATTAAATGAGGTTCAATGTCGGTTTGAGTTTATAAAGAACAGTTAGGGTTTTACAATTAAATAAGGTTAAATGTTGGTTAAGATTTATAAAAGAGGATTATGATTTAGATTTTGTAACTAAATGATATTCTACTTCGGTTTGAGTTTATAAAAGAATGGTTAGGGTTTAGTTTTTATAACTAAATGAGTTATAATTTTTATTATTAAAAGACATATTTATTGGTTAAAAATTCAATGTTCAAGAAAGCGCTAGGCACCTAGCGCCTAGACCGCCTAATCGGGGACTAGGCGATTTTAGGCGGTTTACGCGTTTACAACATAAAATATTATAGCTAAAAATCATATAAAACTATATATTAAGAAAATAAAATATTGAATCGTAAACAAAAATTAGACACACACATTTCTATAATTCATATCAAACAACATATGAATGTTTATAACCATGTATATGACGGTAAAAGTTATAAATTTAAATTTATGTAGTTGAAAATTTGATAAATACACTAAAACGAGATTTATGTTATTTTAGACGGTCGAAGCGGTCATCTAGGCGTCACCTGAACGCCTAATGCCTAGTCGAGGCATAAGCGACCGCCTAGACCGCTTTTTAGAACACTGGTTAAATAAGTATGAGTGAATAAAAAGATTCACTCTTAGAATTGAACCCAAGAATTATTCATTATATATATATATATATATTTATGGTATTTTTGCAAATTTCCCATTGAAACGTAAATTTCATATTTGTTTAGCGAATAAATTTTTAAAAGTGAACGAAAAAAATTATAGATGTTGTAGGGAGGGAACAAAAAGAACCCACCACCCATGTGCGAATCTCATCTTCTTTCTTCTCGTTAAGTACCCAATGGACCTTCTTCCTCTTTGATATGTGACTCTTTCATAGCTTCTTTCCGATTTCATCCTTTATTTTTAATTCTATTTCCTCCTCTCTTTTTTTTTTGTTTGTTTTTTTTGTTTTTCATGTGTACACATTGAAACTACAAAAATTGATGGAAACATGAAAATCAGAAAATGGATTAACATGTTTATCAAGTTATAAAGAGCAACCCACATATGTATTTTCTTTATTTACTTAATGGCAAATGGCAAGAAAAAAAATTTATTTAGGTGAATGATAATGTGTTAACTAATTACAAATTTGGGAACGAAATATGGAGCATGAGTCTTTCTGAATTTAACTGTTAAACTATTTTATATTATATTTTTTTGATAAATGATACAATAATAATTAACAAGTTAATAATGATGTATAAGTCTATGATTAATACAATGCAAGCTCATAACAGTGAAAACAAATTTTATGTAATAAAATTAGATGTCACACTTAAAATTATTGGTTTAAAAATAATCTACGGATAAATTCGAATAAATATACTTAAGACATGTGTTAGTTCATTTTATTTACTTCATAGTAAAATTCATCGTAGTTTTCTTGTATAGTAAAAGACATGTACTATCTTCTGATTCATGATTTTTTAATAAAAATTGTTCCAAATATATTATAAATACATGCAAAACTATTTATGATATTGGATGGTATGGGTTTGGCACAAGAAAGAAAAAACAGAAGGCAACATTAAATACTTTTCGTAATTATCTCATTGCTTGTGTACAAAATTTCACTATCATCCATTTTGTTTTAGGCTTTTAAAAGAAATCCCATAAAATCCCAGGATTCTTCTTCTTTTATTTTTTTCTTATCATCCACTAATTCCACCAAACCTTCTTCTTAGATAACTCAAATATTTATGGCCAATCAATGAATTTTCTTACTTTTATTTTAACTTTCTAAGTATAGTAACCAACCATAAGAATTGAATGAATACCCCACCCAAACCACTTTACATAACCGAATTATAATCTACATTAAACACCTTTAATCTTAAGTGTAATAAATAAATAAAAATGGTTAACCAATCAATTTTTTTCTCTCCAACAAATCAACTATATTGATATCATAAAGTGTTTATAAAAATACATAACCATTCTATGTAGCCTAGCTATCACTTCAAATGTTTTTCCGCTCTATATAAATATTTGGTTAGTAGCAAATTGATGTTTACTTTTCAGAAAAATAAAGATAATAAACCATAGCATAACCACAATTAAATACAAATTACAATATAGAGTTCTACAAGAAGCATTACAAACACATCTATTACTGTTTCTTTTACTACCAGAAACTCTTCACATCTGCTTCACAGCTCCTTCTACTTTCAACAAACAAACCCATCAGAGGTAAGAAAATTGGAATTTTAGTGGTCTCTTAAAAAACATGATTATATATAGAAATATTTACTCAGATGTTAACCAAAAGTTCGAATATTACTAGAATATCATACATTTTCTAAAAATTACTCATATGTTTTGAGCATTTGTGTAATTACAATTAACACCCTTCATTAGTTTTTTTTTAATTAATAATTTTTAATTCGTTTTTAATTAAAAATAATAAATAAAAATTTGATTATCCATGTCATTAATCCACATCACCAATCTCACACTCCTCAAACTCACGTTATTTCTCCTCTTCTCTTTTTTGTCTCCAAATCCAAGAAAAGCTTTTAGATCATTTCTCCTCTTCTCTTTTTTTTGTCTCCAAATCCAAGAAAAGCTTTTAGATCTAATAATCTGCAACTAACTTGGGTACAACATTGACAGAGATCTTCAAATTGCAGGATTGGGCTGGATCTTCCTAGACCTCACAGCCACAACGCTTGCCATAGGGTCCCAAATCAAAAGCTTCGTCAGATCTACTCGCAACCACGCTCACGAAAAAAGTCATCAAAAATCAAAACCCAAAACAAAGAGATCTATGGAATTCTACATGATTCGTTACAGGTTTGAGTTGAAATCAAGAATAGCTACTCTTTTACTTTGATTTTACATGTCTCTCGTATAATCTTCCTCTCAATCGATCTATTTGGAGACATTTCTACTTCTATCTATGTTTTGATTCATACGGTTTAGTCTTCCTCCTATGTATCCCTCAAACATATTTTTACGAATCTTAATTTGATTGTTGTTATTTGACCAATAAATTTCATATTGTCTTCTCCAAAAAAATGTTGCTTTCCGATCTGTATTATAAATCAGCCGTAAAGTGATGTAACTCAGCCGTAACGTGATGTAACTCAGCCGTAACATATAATTTACACAACCTTTCGTCTTCCCTGAATGATAACTCAGCCGTGACATGTAATTTACCGAACCTTTCGTCTTCCCTGAAGCATATATCTCACCCGTAACATATAATTTACACCCATCTATCGTCTTCCCTGGAGAATATAACTCAGCCGTGACATGTAAATTTACCGAACCTTTCGTCTTCCCTTAAACATATAACTAAGCCGTAATGTAATTTTACCGAACCTTTCGTCTTCCCTGGAACATATAACTCAGCTGTGACATGTAAATTGACCGAACTTTTCGTCTTTCCTTAAGCATATAACTCAGCCGTAATGTAATTTTACCGAACCTTTCGTCTTCCCTGGAACATATAACTCAGCCGTGACATGTAAATTGACCGAACCTTTCGTCTTCCCTTAAGCATATAACTCAGCCGTGACATGTAAATTTGCAGCGAAACAATAAGAGACGCAACATTTCCTCTAACTTTATCATCGAGCACCAACTTCACAAGTTTTTCGTGCGTTGTTTTCGCATCTATCTGCACAACTCTACACCCTCTTTCATCGGTGTTAAATACGTATTTGTGTTTTTATACCCAATTACCGGAACCGGATCAACCATATCGGGAGAAGGATGAAAGAAATTGAAGAAGAATGAGGAAGACGATGAGGAATTGGAAGTTCCGGTGATGTGATAAACTCAGGTGAAGAAGACGAGTTGAAAAAATTTGGCCCTATTTTTTTGTCCTTTGATGATGATGACATGGAATGATGACATGGAATGTTGCATCCACGTCATTTTTTAATTGATGAAGTGGCAAGTAAGCCACCAAACGAAAATGTAAATCAGCTTAATTAAACCAGCCATCAAACAAAACTTTAACTCAGCCGCAACATGAATACTATTACAGTAATTAAAAAACGAAAAAACGGCAGCCAAATTCAGCCGTTTACTGTCGTAACTCAACCAAAAATATTTAACTCAGTCGTGTCGTTTAATAAGTCGGCCGTCATTGCATGCTATTCTAGTAATTAATCTTTCGCTACTAAGTCAGCCATAATAAGGCCGAGTTTTCCGTTAATCCAGCTCATTACGGTTGATTTATGATACTCGAGCATAAATCAGCCGTAACGTCATCCCATAACTAAGCCGTCTTTGATAACTCAGCCAGCCGGAGAAAGTTAAGTCAGCCGTGTCGAAGCAATAACTCAGCCAAAAATTTGACAAATCAACCATCGGGTGAAAACTCAGCCGTAACTTAGGCTGGGTTATGCTCGAAAGTCAGCCATTTTATCATAACTCAGACAGATTTCAGTAAGTCAGCCGTAACTCCAGGCTGGGTTATACTCGTAAGTCAGCCGTTTGCTCATAACTCAGCCATTTTTCTTAAATCAGCCGCAACATACCGTAACTCAGCCGTCACTGCCGCTATATCGCTCGACGGCTGAGTTCATTAATACACGTCAGCGATTTCTGACGTGGCGACGCGGCTTTGCTGACGTGGCAGTGGTATTCTTTGTAATTACGTTTTTTCCTGTAACGTTTAACAGGGGCACGCTGGGTATAAAAAATATACCCGAAATATGATAGTAATAAAAAAAAGATCTGTATGTTTCTGGTAATTTCATATAAAATGTATAACATCTGAGTAAATCTCCCTTATATATATATATATATATTAAAATTTCTCAAATTACTAATGCCTTCGGCTGGAAATTTTAATAGTAATTATAAAAATACTAATAGAGATAGATGAGTTTCCGATTTTGCCCTCAAACTCTGAAGTTCTTGCCCATGAAAGTCTGACCAAACTGCCAATTCGCCGGAGCAATGTTCCACGACGTCGAACTTCTACGGTCACTGCCTGTGACTCTAAAAGAAAGTGACTGACCAACCAAAACAGAGTTAGATTGCCAGTTTTGCCCCCAGTTACGACTCATGCTCATCCACGAAGTATGTGTTCCTTTAACTCCTAGTCGGACTATGTTTCCGGCGCCGGCGACGTTTGTGACTAGAACCAAGTTAAAGTAACGGAAACCGTTGATCGTGAACCTTATTCCTCCTCTTTTCCGGCATGGCACACTGTTGTAATTAAAACAAACAAGTAAAGGTTAGTTACGTCATTTCAATAAAAAGGAGAAAACGCGTTGTTGACTAAAAGACACCATTTCATTATTGTTACTCTTGACTTTTTGCAAATAGTACTGATAGGTAAAAAAGAGATTGTTGTAAGGACAGTTTCGTCTTTTCGCAGAAAATAAGATCTTTTAGATTTGGTAATTTAGCCAAGTACTAGAGACCCGACATAAATGCTGCACCGACTCGCGCCAAGAATCAAAGACAAGACTTTTCAACCATACCCCTATACTTCTAAAATGTTATGTTTAACACCCCAAACTTTAAATTCTTTCACATTAACCCAAATTATTCAGAATCTAGAAATAAGACTTCACAACTGCACCATGGTATTTATAAAATGTTATGTTTAATACCCCAAACTTTTAATTCTGTCGGCATTAACCCCAATCGTTTGTACTTCTCAACAACAACCCAATACTTCTAAGATATTAAATTTCACACCCCAAAGTTTAAAATCTACCAAATCTAACCCCAATTTTTCTAATTCAAGAAACCAATCTAAAAGCCTAGGAGTTTGTTCTTCTTACCGGCGAAAAGAGACGGGGACGATTCCGGCACGATACTCAGCAATCTTAAGGAACATAGGCATAGCAAGATCAAAGTGAGGCCTAGGAGGGTTACACCAACCACCATTGTCACTAGGCTGAGCAAAGTTCGGAGGACAGAAATTAGTCGCAGTGATGAAGATTGAAGGACTACCAGAATGGCACCATCTTGGATCACTCGCACACTTGAGCTCAAAACAAGCACCACAGCTAAAACCATTGTTGAACAGAGCCGTGCTTAGAGCCGCCGTGTTAACACCGTAGCCTTGGCTGTATAAGTTACCATAACCACAAGCACCACCTGAAAACAAAAACAGAGCAAAAAGTTCAAATCTTTTGGGGTTCAAAATCAAGAAGATGCAATAAAAACCGTTAATTTGACAATGTGGTGGTTTGGTTTAGCAAATATGAACAAAAAGATTGGAACTTTAAGTTGGGTTTAGTATTAAAGTTGAAACCTTTGAGGTACAAAATCAAGATTTTAACATTTTGACAATGTGGTTACAAAAAAAGATTGGAACTTTAGGTTAAAATTGATGAGAATGTGGAAGAGAAGAGAGAGAGAGACATACCCATGGTTCCAGAAGCATCAGAGCCACCATAGAAAGTGGCATGAGCAGTTTCCCAACCACCTCCATTGTAAACTCCTGGGATTCTTGCTTCAGACAATGCAAGAATTGTGGTAAGAACAGATAAAACCAAACCCAACATTCTCATAATGAGAGAGAAAGAGAGAGAGAGTGAGAAAATAGAGAGAGGTTTTGGGAGAAAGAGGCAGAGGAAGAAGAAGAAGAGTCTATTGGAGTGTCTCCATGTGTGTAGGGAAGGGTATAGAGAGGTGACTATATATAAATTTACATAAGCATTTATTTATTTTTCTTTATTTGTATTATTCTCATTACAAAAGTTTCTCTTATAACTTTTTTTTTTTTTTTAAATAAATAAATAACAAGATTTTAACCTCTAGGGTCATAATTCTCTAGCTTATGAATGGTAAACATGATTTGGGTTTTTGAGAAAAATGATACAATTACATAATTCGTAATTTCGTATGTAACTATAGAATATTGAGTATGTCTTATATACAAAAGCCATGCGTAAAAATCCATAATTAAATGTTGGGTCTTTGCCCTTTCCTATAATGTGTCTACCAAAAGAAGTTTATTGCTAATATCACGCTTGGTGAATAGTGCGTGGGTTACACTATCCAATCATAATTCATAGTGTACGGATAAAGATGATGTTACTCCACTAAAATATGATAAAGATCTTCTCACGTTCCATTGAAGCGCGTTGGGACGACCACTCTTTAGTTGCTATCAATAATTTTCGATTTTAAAAAATTGCTATATCGTATCTTGCTATGGACCTATGATAACTATTGATGTGTATTGAATTTTAGTATACGAATTTGGTATTTATAGTAATGGCTATATTAATTTTAGTTTCTAAAGAAACGGTTATACATATAGCTTATAATCATGGTAATATCATTGTTTCGGCTTATTGGTCTTACGTACAGAAAAAATCATAATTATTATATATTTCATGCAATTTGGTAAAAATATATATTTTTTTATCAAAAAATGTTGGGTGAAATATATCTACTATTTATACAAAAATAAATGAAATTTGAATTTATATTATCTTGCCAAATTGTTTATAAGCAAAAAGTTAGACAATAATCAATTTACGATTTTTTTTTCTTTGTTAACAAGAGAATCGTAGGCCGAAATTTATATTAATGTTTCGAGATCATAACATTTTGGGTTTTCTTGTCACTAAAAACGTTTATGGAAGGCCAAAAATAATTAAAATTGCAGTAGGAGAGTTCAAAGTGAATATGGACACTTAACTACTAAAATAACATATTTGTTTTTTGTTTTCATTACCTAATACCTAAGAATTTGAAATATTTTCATTTTGCATTTATACTGTTTATAATGATGATGATATATTTTATAGTGTTCACGGGTTGTAAATGAAATACGAGTTTTCTACTTGATATAGTGACAAATAATCATGGAAAAGTCCTACTAGTTAAAAAATATAAATTTGCATAATGAAGTTGTTATAGTATCTTAAAATTAAAATCAAAGAAAAAATTAGTGTTTTAGTATCACACCTAATACCTTTCTTAAGCATAATTTCCCCTTTGTCGCAAGACACATGATTAGTCCTCCGTACGTAACGGACATATGAAAGAAAAAGAAAAAAGAGAGTACGTGTATGTTACTTGGAAGCTAAAATAATATCAATTATCAATCAAACTTCGTGAATCAAAGTTTAATACCCCCTAAAAATCCACACATGAATATCAATTATGCAATGTTATTTGGAGAACTAATATCAATTATGATCAAGCTTTCCACCCATAGTTATTTTAAGTTGAGATCAATCTTTGGCATTGTGAGAAGAATTTCTTGTATCATGAACAGACAAACGTATAACCTTTGGTCGGTGTCGTTGGTTTCAGTCGCCAGTGACATGCAAACGAATAGGCGTTAAGTCACTTATCTTAGATATGTTTCTTCTAATACTCATATACGTACAAAATTAGACATGTGTGGTTTGGTAGGAGTAGGACTATAAATACCACCATCTAGAATTGAAATATGTTTTAATGCATCGTCATAATCTTAACTATGTTATATATTCTTGTTTTTCCTGTTTACTCTATTTTTTTCAGTCACTCATTTTAAATATGTTTCAACTAATACTCATATACGTACAAAATCAGACATGTGTGGTTTGGTAAGAGTAGGACTATACATATCATCTAGAATTGAAATAGATTGACTAACAAAAGGAGATTACCTAAAAATATGCTAACATTGTCACATTTTATCATCTTATACTAAAAAAACAAACCCATCTTTGAAGAATTTAGCCTCGAGTGAGTATGTAATATGTATGATTGAAGAAGGCTAGGATTGGATGATGAGTGATGACTAACATAAGGGACCACCACATGGAATCCTATCTAGTGTACTTGTCCGACGTATAACTTTGGGACCCTTTTGATTACCGTAATCATCGGAGCATGTAAACCGGTGAATCTGTTTAAACTAAAACACTTAAAAGTACTACATAATAAGCTCACTACCTAAAAAACAAAGCTAATGTTAATACTTTAATGTTTCTTGAAATACAAAGACAAATTGAGAGAAAAAGACTGAATTCTTGAACCGCACGCGCCCGAACAATGCCAATATATCTCTGTCTTGTTAATGGTGGCTCTTTTATTTTACATTAAGACTAAAAGCAAAATGCTTTTTTGACATCTAAAAATGTTTGCTGAACATGTTGTGGAGCCTATTGTAGTTTTAGTAACAGCAAGAACACTGTAGTTTGAAAAATCACATGGTTCTATCATAAAAGCATTGGTTTTGACCAAGTGTCGTTAGCTCAACTGGTAAAGACCCTAGGCGAAGCTTAGAGGTCGCCGGTTCGAGTGACGCTTGGGACGAAACTAATATTACATGTTGTGGTTTCGGGCCTATGGGAATTACGAGGTTTGGTCCAGAACCTCCTGGTATTCAGAAAAAAAAAAAAAAGTTTGAATGGCTCTCTAGACGATGTTATGCATCCACATATCGTAGCAAGTATTCAAGAAAGCGCTAGGCGCTAAGCGGGCGGTGACCCAGTGCCTAGCGCCTAGAACGCCTAATCGGGGTTTAGGCGATTTTTAGGCGGTTTAGACGTTTATACATAATACATTATAAATATGATATTATATATAAAAGTTATATAAAATATCAATAAAAAACTAAAAATTTAGAAATTATAAACAAAAACTAGATAAAATATTTATTTATATTTATATTAAACAATATATGAATATTTATAACTATATATATAAATAAAACTCTAATTGAAATTGAAAAAATACATTAAACAAGATCTATGTAATTTTAGGCGGCCAAAGCGGTTATCTAGGCGTCGAATGAGAGCCTAGCGTCTAGTCGGGGCCTAGGCGACCGCCTAGACCGCTTTTTAGAACACTGTCACTATTTCCTAAGCGTTAGGGTTAAGTGGTTTAGTTGTTAAACGGATTTAAATTACTTTAAGGACATTAGGTAGATCTAGACAGCTTTTAAACATTTTAAACGTTAGATATTGGATTCTAGCTTTCTTAAAAACACTACTTAAAAGTATGATAAGCTTTTCTCATTGCAAGAAAATTGAACGTTGAAAAGTTATTATGATAAAGAAAAAAACATTTCGAAAGAATTTTGTAAAGAAAGCCCAAAATGGTTTAATAGAAGCTTGTGAAAGCACTTGCCACTCTTCAAGAAGTCACGACTTCTCCAACCTCCCATGTGATCATTTTCACAACCCTTAAATCCAAAGTCTTACCAATTTATAAAAGTAACTACACTACGTGGACCATTGGCGGATGGCTACGTACACGAATCGTGAAAATGTTCTTCGTAGAGGTTTTACGAATCCAATGTAGTAGTCCCCACCCTATGAAACTGTGTCTCACCATGTGATTATACCAAATCATATCTGACTCTAACATAGATAGCTTCTTCAATTACCACTCATTCTATTTTATTGTTTATTACTGATCAGGTTATGTTATTGTTTAATTTTCTTTATTTTGGGAACCTTGTTTGATTTATTTTGACTGGCTAACTGTTAACAGTTAACACCAAAGTGGAAACTGATATAGAAAAAAAAAAAAACTAATTTAATAGTTTTGGAAATATTAAAAGCTTTCAGATTGCCAATAACACTTTCTCACATATTTTTTTTTCGTTAGGACGTTTAAGTTTTAACGTAGGTGTATATGATAAACAAAAAAAAAATATTCAACTTTTTTTGCTGGGTTTTATGGTAACAAGACATTTAATATGCAGAAGACGTTGCTATAAACTGAACCACGCATTTTCTACTTGTTCACATACACAACCTTTTCGCATTCATAGAAAGAAATCAAAATGAATATGCTCTCATTAATCCTCTTTTAATACATGGAACCCGAATCATGGTACGAAAATTACATATTTCGAATGACTAGTGTATAATACATGGACTATTTCACTCATTGCCAATTATTTTTAAGTTAGAAATTGAAAAAAGGTATATTTCAATTTCAATTTTTTTGCAAAATGTTTTTTTCATACCAAAACAAATTAAAGTGCCATTGCCTTTGTCAATTTCAACTCATCATAATTAGGTGGTATTCTGTTTAATCAAAGTTACGTCATTTTGCTTCTTAGAGTCCAAACAATGAAAAGAACGTTGTTTTGAAATTGGGATAAACGTTATGGAATTCAACATCAAATCTTTTTATTCTTCGTAGTTCCTAATTAATTGGGTTCTTCTTCCCAATTAAACCACGTCGTTTAGATTTTTAGGCCAAAACTTCATAATTATCCAAATTATTTTGAATAATTGAAAATGAGCTAGGGAAACGTGTTACGCAGACAATTATGGTGTTGTTAGTTTGACAATCGCAGGATCCTGCAACTAATTGCACGATTCTGCGACTAATCGTGCGATTAGTCGTTCCGACTTGCGACTAAATTGTTTGATTGCAGAAAAAATTAGCGACGCGATTTTTAAATAGCGATTAGTCGCAGCGACCAATCGCGCGATTACTAAACGAACAACATTCCGCGATTTCAAAATCACAATCACAGTCGCAATCGTTTGCGATTGTGAAATGAACACGGCCTATGATATATTTTGGGTTCATATGTAAGAAAAACATAAGCAAAAGAAAAGAAAGTTAAACAAAATTACCCTCCAAAACTACAAACCATTAAATTAAAACATGCACTAATCAATAAAGTAATGATATTTAA